TGCAGCTCATTGCCATCACTGCTGGGACACAGACCTCTGAGGTCTGGGCAGCTTGTTTTTTTCCATGGTGAAAGTCTGTACAGGAAATAACTACTGGTCTACTTCTGCGCTCTTCTCTCGTTTCCCTGGGAAGAGGAGAAGCATGTTACTCAGGTGAAATAGTGACAACCACTCCCAAAATGTGCATGGGTTCCCCTGTGCTGTTCAGTACATTTATTGCACTTACTGCCTTGACAGAAGCTCAGAGACAGAAGTGCGGTGACTTGCACCCTACAAGTCAGTAGTGAGGCACAAGGAGGTGCCCATCAGCATCTTGCCTGCCACAGCTCTGGCACCCCTCCCATAGGCAGCCTCATGGTCTTCTCCAGCGTGTTAGCTAATATCACCTCTGTCTGCAGAGACCTTCCAGTTCTGCCTTGACGCGATCTTCTCATCAGAGGGTCCAGCAATGTCACCAGGCTGTGCTGCAGGGCGCGCCTGGGGGAGTTAGCTCAAAATCCCCCAAGGAGGTGCCCAGGTTTGCCTGTTGTCTTTTTAGTTTGTTTTGATTTTTTTGCTTTCATGATCACCAAAATAACTAAGTGGATTGCTGGATGTTCAGCTCCTCCAAGATTTTCATCATATGAAATGAAATGGAATAAAATAAAGCATATGAAAGAAATGGAATTCATCAGAGACTATCATAATGACCTGGAAGAATAAACATAAGAAAGTGAGCCTTGTTTAATGATGGTTTACAGTGACAGCCCAAATTTTAATCAATTAATATATATAAGCCCATTACTTGAAAGATGTGATGGGCCTGTGGGACAACATTCAGTATTTCTTCCGTTCTTAGGGGAGCTGCAGGGTATCAGCTGACATCTTGGAAGGACTCCTTCCTCACAGATGCTTTTAAAGCTGCTGCTTTTCTGACTGCAGAAGTCATAGTTAAGCTTTACACATGTATTTTGTGTATGCTTTCGGGTACAGTTTCATCCTGTGACCCCCTAGGAGACCTCATTGACCTTCTCACAGCTTCTTGAGCCTGAGGAAAGCTCAGTCAGCCTTTATATTGCCAAGCTTTCTTCAGTTCTACACTTAGGAACACAGAAACCAAATAGATTTATTGATATAACTATAATCAGAAGTCATAGCCAGGATGATAAAATGGTCAAATGATCAAATTACTTAAAATTAGAGGCGTACTGAAGTGCCTTGGGGACTGAGAAGCTGCAGGCAGGCAGCCGGCCTGCCGGTCAGCTCTGTAGCAGCAGCATGTGTGTTTCCAGCCCCACACAGGCAGGGGGACCTGGGGGGACCCTGGGACCCTTACGGCCAACAACCGAAAGAGATGAGGCTACTCCAGTTTTGTCACTTGTGAAAGAATGAGAAGGTAGCAGGGCAGAGCCTGGACATGGCCAGGTGCAGGTTGAGTGTGAGAGGGCAAGCACCAGCGCTGCGTACTAGCTAGGAGCAGGATGAGATTTCTGGGCATGGGGCGAGTTGGGGCGAGTATCTCTTTGGGGTAGGGGATTCCTGTGTCCCACAGGATCTGGAGTCTTGAACGCCGTTAGGACTCTCACCTAATGTATGACCTTGGGTCCAAACGGGGATGTCACAGTTTGGTTCTGTTTGTTTAATAGGAAACAGTCCCACTTCTGCATTTCATAATACTTCAAGAAGTGAAGGCACCTTTCCCTGTGGCTATAAGATTTTATTTAATCAAATATGTTAAGTGCCATTCATTTTGTATTTATTGCATCGCCAGTGGATCCTGCTTAAGGGTGATGTATGCTCTGTGGCCACATGTGCCTGGGCATGCACGTTTGGAGTAAATGTCCCACCTTTTTCTCTGTAATTTACTCTTCTGGACTTCGGGGGTATGGTTGAAATGGCAGACTGCTTGTTTCTCTAGTTCAAAAAAACATGTTTGAATATAGTGTCATTATCCCTGATAAGAGAGCACTATAAATTAAACAGAGTCAGCAGCCCAGGTACATTAATCTTCCTGATGCAATCCTACCTTTAGCATTTCCTGACATATATTTGATGTTGACTTAATTGTGCAGCCTTAAAGTAGGATTTGAGTATATAAGTGCAAAAGCAGTAAGAAACTGCAGATGCAAGCTAGAAGCTGTCTGCTGAAAACTGTGCAAGGGGTGGGTGATGCACAGGTCCTTGCAGCAAGGAGATTGGGGTGACAAGTTTGTTGTAGTGGGTTTTTACCACCCATCTGGTCAACCCTGAAAATGAGCCTTCATGCAGGAGATCCTATAAGACTTGGGCATATAGTGTCATCCCAAGGTTGTCGCTTTCTGCTCTCCTTGCACATGAGCAATCTGACATCAGCACAAGTAGCGCGTGGTTCATGGTGCTCCTATGGTGCATCCTCTTAATGCAGCATGAGGCTACAGAGATCTCACCTGGAAAGAAAGGCTGGTCTCACAGTTAAAGTTTTAGAACAGAATTGAGAAGAATCTTGGTTCTCTTCTCACTTTTACTGAAGGAGGTCAGAAGAGTCATTTTGGAACTTTGGTTTTTTGGAAGGTATCAAAAGATGCAAATAAATGCCTAATGGGCTCTGAAATGGTCTTTGAAATCAGTGGGAGACAGGTCTCTGAGATTTCAGAAATCCCTCACAAAGTGTTTGCATGCATCTTTAAGCATCTAAACACCTTTAAAAATATGTCTCTTAAGTTTCTAACTCTGAGCATAGCTTCCTACATCCCCTACGCATTTTTGAAATTGCATCCAAAGTTGTGTAGATTTCCCCTAAAGAGCATCCTTTTGTTTTAATTTTCTCATTGACTTAATTTTCTCTTGACTTGAGACATAATATATATTAACCTACACTCATTTTTTGTACCAAAACATAGAGAAGTGAAGCTGTTTCTGAGCTGGTTTATTACAAAAAAGGAGCATATGGCTGATTGTGTCCCATCTGAAATGCAAATGGTGGCGCTACGTGGAAAGAATTACTATTACTTGAGCAGTAAATGTTTCCTAATGAAGTGAGTTTGACTAAGGTGGGAAGCTGGAAACGGCTGCAGGAAGAAATGACGACGGTTAACATTTCGGTGGAGCAGAACATACTTATTCTGCTGATAAGGAGGTTCTTAGGAAATTGACTGGATTTTTTTCTTATATTCTGTATGTTCATCAGTGCAGGGAAATTGTTACACAGGGAGCCAGACTCTTTTCTTCCACTAGTTGTGAAATCATGTAATTTAATTTATAACCAGAGCTTTTCACCTTTGGCATCTTTCTGAGCTGAAGTTTTCTGTATTTTGTGAACATTTGGGGAAAACAGATCTACCCAATGTAGAGAAGGTCTAAAAGAAGATGAGTACTGGTTCCACTGATTTTCGTCACCCTGGGCACATTTGCAGAGGCCAAAGGGGATGATGGAGAGATCTGACCCACACTGTCTAAGTTCCTGTGCTTCCTCTTTCCACCAAAGTTTTTCTCTTGTGTATATCCCTGTATGCTTCCAGTTGTTGAAGGTGTCCAGAATGGGAGGTGAACTGACTTTTAAACACTTTCTTAAATCAAGCAGCAAGGCTAGAGGCTGACATTTCCATTACTTAACTTTCCAAAGGGAGAGCTGTGGAGTCAGCACTGTGAGGTTCAGCGCAACCAGTGGGCTGGAGATAGAGCATCAGTCGCATTACTTTGCCTTAAATGCCAGAAGGAGCCAGGAAGAGTTTAGATAGCAGCATGTGCACAATTACGTGCTCGGAAGA